CCAGAGGGTTTAAGCTATGTCATTAATACCAGATGAGCATCCAGGGTCTCTCCTTAGGGCCCTTAGTGGGCCCAGGGGATGGAGCCCCCGAAAGCTTACGGGTTTTAGGCATTTATAAGTGCGGTCAGATGAGCATATTTTGATACCTCATTTGTGACACTGGCAGGTCACTCATTCTTTCTTTCTCTATTTCCTTCTTTTTCTCTTTAACAATCTTCTTAAAAAAAAAGTGAAGGGGGGGGGGTCGAGCCCTCGAGCCCCACTGTTCAGCAGGCCCGGACATGAAGGCTTCTGAATAAGCATAATTATAAAAATAAGGCTGTAAATTTGGAGAACAAAATATATAATTTACAAACAGAAATTGAGAAGAAATCCCGGAAAATCATGGAATTTTAGCATTAGCATAGAATTAGAAATAAACACCGTTGGAGGGCATCTACCCCAAGCCCCCCTCCCATCATTTCGCCAGTTTTCAGGGGCTCATCTTTTACACTCCTATGAATAAACAAACACACGCTTTCCCATACTCTCACAATACTTCCACGATCTGTGCTTATCGCTATTATAAAATCATCCACCGAAAAAAAAATTCGGCAGTCATAAACCAATAAAGTTATACAAATAATACAGAGAGAAATAAAATCTCTTCCTTCCATCCAACGATTATACAGAGAACATACCCTTTCACTCTTTTGAATTAGGAAAATGAACCTTAAAGGCGAAGTCAACCCTTTATTGAAAGTAGAAAAGTGAGAGAAACGAGATTGTGTAATATTTTAATTATTACAATCTTGATTAGTATAAATTCGAAGACTATATATTCCACGTGGAAATCAGCTTTTACTAGAAATGTATCTAACATCATATATGCTTTACCAAAAATAAGCATACCTTTTAGTTTAATTATAAGCAGTTTGAAAAGGCTAGTGACTTTGTATATATTGTTTAATCATTTTCAAATACATTAAACATCATTATGCAATATGCAGCATTTAGAAAGAACTGTCAGCCTTTGTTGTGGTTAAAATAGTTACCAAAAAAAAAGCGGTTTTACATGAAATATGAAAATAGAAAGATATTCTATGTTATTATAATAATATATAGTTACTTGAATGAAATTTGCTCTTTATTTACAATATAAATCAGTCAGTCGACGAGTGCATTTGCTACACAAACCTGCACCCTGAAAATGATATTTCAATGATGAGTGCAATTCAACATATAACGGATGTTAATTAAAGGGATAGTTGAGTTCTGTTGCGGAGGGTGCTATACAATTTTAATGACAAAATCATCTATGTTTGATCAAAATCGGTTCAGAGACGGCTGAAATATCCATAAATATAACGATTTCTAATACTTGTGTACCACCATTTTATAATGATCATATTGGCTAAATTTCACAAATTTTGGGGTCTAAAATTACCTTCATAGCAATTTTAAGTTCTAAAAGGGCACTAAAAATGTCATAGATAAGAATAAGAGCAATAACCATGCACTTTGAAGGCATTTGCGGTCTGAAAACAGAACTCAACTATCTCTTTAACATCTGTGGTAATCATCAGTTTCTACAACAAACACCGTTATTTCCTTCAAATTCACAATCATTACGTCAACGAAAGAACCTAATTACTACTGCAGATTTACATGAGTCACAACACAATGGAGGTAATCAAAACTTTTTTTTTAAAGTACTGATATTCAATATTTTTCGTAAATGAATCTAAGTTTTTAAAAATGGACATTGGATGGGACAGTACAAAAAAAAATCATGCTTAGTTTTCGATTTGCCTTCCATTACCACACAAACTAAGCACAGTTTGTTTATTCTAAAGATTTTATCATAAAACACAATATTTCAAAGGTTTTAACAAAAAAGTTGTAGCGAACGCACCTAACTCGTGGGGGGGGGGGGGTGGGCGTCCAAAAAAAGCGGCCCTTTCGACGGAAAATAGTATTTTGTACATGCTTTTTTTTTAACCTTGAACCACCATGACTTTGGTGTCATATGAAATGAAATTAATTTATCTACTTTTTTATTCCAATTTTACTTGAATTTAGATTAGTTGCTTATTTAATTTAAAAACATGATTTTAGTTATTTCTTTTCTTCACTGAAGATATTGAATTTTTATCAAACATCATTATTTTCCATATAACAAATTCAACTGCACACGTATATACATGGACAATATCCTGTGCAAAGAAGAAGCTATATCTCCTTTCAGTGAAAAGTTGTAGCAACCCAAATTTATTGATTCAATTTCCACAAAAACATAGTTTTGGCCCATATGTGTAGTATTGCTGTATGCATACACGTGTAATCGTGTATCGAGGACGTGTTTGGTGTGTTTATATCGACATGTAAAGATGAATTTAAAGTAAACCTCAAATCACCATGGATTTTGTGTCAAAAATGGACAACTAAAACACTTTCAAGATGATATCAATTTCATTGGGTTATGTAGTGTGTGAAATATAAATCTTGAGCCGAAAAGGGGCTTTTTTGTAGATATTTAATCCCTCTAATTTTGGCCAGTATCTCGGTTTAATAACTAGACAATAGTGATTGGATATTTAGTCCAGATAGTTCAAGGGATAAGGAGTGCAAATATTTGATACAACTATTTACTTATTAATAGGTATATACATATTTCGAAAATAAATCCTATGTACGTACTTCATAACTTGGGAACATTCACTCGATCACCCAACATAATGCACATGTACAAATATGTATCGATATCTTGCCATAGGACATTATAGTGCCGGGCTGGGATTCGAACCCCACCCTTGGATTGAAAATCAATTGAATGAACCACCTGTACCACGACACCTGAACAATAAATTTTCCATAGTTTCACTACTCCACAACCAAAATATGTACAACGAATAATATACTGTTTCATCTAGAGAGTTTCAGGACCATCACTCGACCAACGGATTGCTATATGAATTTAAGATTCAAGTGCAAAGTACTCGCATACAGATTACCATCCAACCAGCACAAAGCTATATGAATTTAAGATTCATATTCAAAGTTCTTATGTACAGAGTACCATTGGACCAACGCAATGTTATATTCCTTTAAGAATCAAATGCAAAATTTTCATATACAGATCTCCATCCAACCAACTCAAAGCTATATACATTTTAGATTCAAATGTAGAGTTCTCGTACACAGATCACCATCCAACCAACGCAATGCTATATGAATTCAAGATTCAAATTCAAAGTTCGTATATACAGAGTACCATTCAACCAACGCAATGCTATATGAATTCAAGATTCAAATTCAAAGTTCGTATATACAGAGTACCATTCAATCAACGCAACGCTATATGAATTTAAGATTCAAATTCAAAGTTATTATATACAGAGTACCATTTAACCAACGCAACGCTATATGAATTCAAGATTCAAATTCGAAGTTATTATATACAGAGTACCATTTAACCAACGCAACACTATTTGAATTTAAGATTCAATTAATGCAACGTTCTCGTATACAGAGTAGCATCCAACCAACCCATTGCTATATATCAATTTTTAGATTCAAATGCAAAGTTCTCGTATAGAGAGTACAATTCAACCAACGCAATGCTATATGACTTCAAGATTCAAATGTAAAGTTCTCGTATAGATCACCATCCAACCAACGCAAAGCTATATGAATTTAAGATTTAAATTCAAAGTTCGTATATACAGAGTACCATTCAACGCAACGCAACGCTATACGAATTTAAGATTCAAATTCAAAGTTATTATATACAGAGTACCATTTAACCAACGCAACGCTATATGAATTCAAGATTCAAATTCAAATTTCTTATATACAGAGTACCATTTAACCAACGCAACGCTATTTGAATTTAAGATTCAATTAATGCAACGTTCTCGTATACAGAGTAGCATCCAACCAACCCATTGCTATATATCAATTTTTAGATTCAAATGCAAAGTTCTCGTATAGAGAGTACAATTCAACCAACGCAATGCTATATGACTTCAAGATTCAAATGTAAAGTTCTCGTATAGATCACCATCCAACCAACGCAAAGCTATATGAATTTAAGATTTAAATTCAAAGTTCGTATATACAGAGTACCATTCAACGCAACGCAACGCTATACGAATTTAAGATTCAAATTCAAAGTTATTATATACAGAGTACCATTTAACCAACGCAACGCTATATGAATTCAAGATTCAAATTCAAATTTCTTATATACAGAGTACCATTTAACCAACGCAACGCTATTTGAATTTAAGATTCAATTAATGCAACGTTCTCGTATACAGAGTAGCATCCAACCAACCCATTGCTATATATCAATTTTTAGATTCAAATGCAAAGTTCTCGTATAGAGAGTACAATTCAACCAACGCAATGCTATATGACTTCAAGATTCAAATGTAAAGTTCTCGTATAGATCACCATCCAACCAACGCAACGCTATTTGAATTTAAGATTCAAATTCAAAGTTATTATATACAGAGTACCATTTAACCAACGCAACGCTATATGAATTCAAGATTCAAATTCAAAGTTCTTATATACAGAGTACCATTTAACCGACGCAATGTTATATGACTTTAAGATTCAAATGTAAAGTTCTCGTATACAGATCACCATCCAACCAACGCAAAGCTATATACATTTTAGATTAAAATGTAGAGTTCTCGCATACAGAGCACCATACAACCAACGCAATGGTATATGAATTTAAGATTCAAATTCAAAGTTCTCGTATACGGAGCACCATACAACCAACGCAATGGTATATGAATTTAAGATTCAAATGCAACGTTCTCGTATACAGAGCACCATACAACCAACGCATGGTATATAAATTTAAGATTTAAAGCTTATCAGTACTAGTTTACAGGAGGCTTTACACCGCCCTGCAAGGTCACTGGACAGGTGGTTATCTCATCAACTCAGCTCTCAGTTAACATAAGAAAAAGAGAATCATATGCATGGGGACCAATGGTCACCGATTAGGCATTGTTTAATATAGAGAGGGCGCAAGTAGCTACAAGTAGTGCAGCGGGCTTTTAAATGCAAAGTTCTCGTATACAGAGCACCATACAACCAACGCAATGGTATATGAATTCAAGATTCAAATTCAAAGTTCTCGTATATGGAGCACTGTTGTTGAGGTTTTGGCTTCGGTCTGTCCTGGCTCCTCTCAGTCTCTACATTGCCATACACGAGTGCCGCGGCGCCTGCTTCCTGCGGATCTGTGACCTCATATGGGTTCTCTTCCGGGTCATGTGTGTAGTCAATCTCTACATTGCCGTACGTGTGGTCCTCTAGTTTCGGGTATGGACGCTGCTCATAGTTTTCAGTGTGCAGGTATTCACGGATGACATCGTAGACGAAAGCATATTCCTCCTATTATAGACAACAAATGTTCTAGTTTACTACTTGATAATGTATTCACATAGATATACATGGATATTGAGAAATTAAGATTGGAATATAAAAAATAGAAGATAATATTGTATAAGGAGGAAAAAATTTATATGTTCACAATGCATGAATTTCCAAGGTTTCAGAGGCTGTATTCCTCACATGTAAACTAACTAGATACGAAACAATAGATTTGACAACGATTACAATATTTCGAGTATATATTTCTATTTAACTTTTCCTATTGTAAACCATGGCACAACAAGAATTTTATTTTACATGACGCAATTATAGATGGTACGAAATTATTTTCTCTCTTTATCTGATAGTATTTTTGGCTTTATCTCTGTTTTGGAAACCACTCGTTTGATGGGTTAAAGGGGTCCAATGTGTATGTAGCAATGAAGCGATACACTGTGCGGAATAAATGCTGGTTTCCTATTTCACAACAATATCGATTTTTTTTTAATGCATTCTTTTTATGTCTATATGTGACCAGTGTGCTGGAGAAAGTAGTCAGTTTGTCATACCTCGGTTTGAACGAACTGCATCCTGTCAGCTCGCAGTATCTTGACTGTCTGGAAAATATCGACGGAATTTCCCTCAGCTATCTGAGCGATGCACTCCATAGCAGTACAAAACACACCTGTTCGCCCGGCACCACTCCTTGAATTCCAAACAAAAAGTAAACATGTTTGAATTACAGTAATCAAGATTCAATAAGCATTTACTATTTGGTGAATTTATTGTTCAAAATGTAATCCAATAACATTACTGTTTAGTAATAAAGTTATCATAACTGAAGAGACCTTCTCTAAAGTATTTCAATTCCTGCAGGTTCCTCTCGAGAACCCCTGGCTCTGAGGTATTTATGTTGTACATAATAGCATCTTTAATTAACTGTTGATATGTCTAACAAGCCATTAGCAGGTTTTTAAGTTGCCGATGCAATTATTTTTTTCAAGAGGTATGCACATTGCATAACTTTAGTAAACATATTATTAAACGTTATAGTTGATTTTGAAATTTGTTGTAACTATTATCTTGTTTGCCAAAAATATCCCTCAACAAAGTACTTATGGGTCGATCCGGTTTCCATGGACTTTACATCAATTGCGACTGTCTGAGAATAATAAGCATTGAAAATATCCTGGACTTACAAACAATGGACAAGAATAGAGAATTCTTTCTTGTTGTTAGTGGAACTTTTGACAGCACGGATGAGCTTGATCAATGACCTAGCCCCTAGTTGTTGATCTGATCCATGTTTAGGCCATCCATGGAACTGGTATTGAGTAACGGTGTGACTTGCCTAAAAGACAACGAAACCAAATAATCCGTGGACAATGGATTTATAAGGCGCATTAGAATTTGTCACAACATTGCATCTTATCTTCGTGTTCTACCAGATATGGATAATAATGTTACTTTGGCTTTACGCTCACAAATTTTAAATGTCTATGTTTAAAAAATGAACTAGTTATTTAAAGAAAAGGTCGAGTTCTGACAAAGATTCCCATCCTTTTTTGGTGTGATATCAACAATGGTCAGATATCTCAATGATTTACATTCATCAAGCCGCTTTTCATCCAGTTTGTAAAACCGTTTCGTTGAAATTTATAATGTGGATTGTTAAAAATATTAGGTTGCTCGATCGTTTAAAAAATCAAATGGGGGCATCAACGTTCCTCACCCCTTCGTCAACAATTACTGTCATCGTTAAAAACACATATAAAATAAGACATACGTTGGAGTTTCTGGTAACTTTCATTTGCCGAGTGGTCATGTCGCCATCAGATGATGTTGATAAGGTTGCAACTGAATATGATCCGAACTGAGCCGAGTCAGCATCAGGCCAGTATTGTGCACAACTCTAGAAGGAGCAGAGGTGAGATTATACATAAAACGTTAGTAATGTTGGTCCTTCCTTTTCCGTCCGCTCTATTTATCGTGTTTATATTTCTCGCTCTTATCGTTTTCTTTTCTTTCATGGTGCACTGGTTTCCCTGAATCCCTATAACTAGTACATGCATCACTACTTTAAGCCATGTTAGTTTTTAAATTAGCGTTACGGACAGTGTGGAAGACCTTCTTCTTCTTATTATGATACTACTTCTACTATAGTCTTCTAAAACTACTACTATTACTTCGACTACTACTACTACTACTAATGCTACTCCTACAACTCATACTACTGTTACTACTACTACTACTACAACTACTATAACTATTCCTACTTTTACTACGACTACCAATTCTATTACTACTACTACTACTACTTTTACTACTACTACTACTACTATTACTATTCCTACTTTTACTACGACTACTAATTCTATTACTACTACTACTACTACTACTTCTACTACTACTACTACTACTACTACTTCTACTACTTCTACTACTACTATTCCTACTTTTACTACGACTACTACTTATATTACTACTATTACTACTACTACTACTACTACTACTACTACTACTTCTATTACTTCGTTATTATTACTGACAATGATCTTATCCCCCTCTTGCGCCACTCTTGGGACATCAATCTTTAAACATCTAAATTGATTATCTTAAGGATTATATTTATACGAAAAAAGAAGCAATGGAAAATAGGAAGGTCTATAAATCTCCCAAACTAAATGTGCGACAAACTATTAACCGACCAAACTTAACAATTGGCATTTATTCGTTCTTCTACCTTATCGTTTTGGCTCTTGTCATTAAGCATGACGATAGTGGACGGTTTAGAGCCTACGACCATAGACCAGAAATCAGACACAGTGGTTGGCAGCGGCATCTGGGTTGTCATGAATGTGCAGTGGACTCCCTGAAAGATGAAGAAATAATAATTATAATATACGATAACAACGTGAGAACCTGACCACCTACTTCCATTGCCATGATATGCTACCAGAGCTGCTAGTGTCAGAATATTTGAAGTACATGCACCGTAGGTGGAGGGGGCTCACTAAATGCTCTGCATCCCCATCATACATCCTCTTCATCAATGTATAATTCCGACATAATAGACATAACAATTCTCATATATTCTATATTACATTCCATATTATAATGGCGACAGTGCATGTACTTTAAGGGGGGAAAATGGATATACGCACATTATACAGTTGTAAAAAAAAAAACATTTTGCAAGCTTTTGTAATAAGACAAGTCACTAAAATGCGATGAGACAGCACACACGAATGTTGTTTGTGCTAATCATCAATAATATCAATAATATAAGCACAATGTGTAATTATAGCAATTGCCTACGCTCAGGACGTCTACTTTTTTGTGTTGGATACAAGTCAAATGTATTATATGTAGACGGTATTTATTATGTCATTCCATCCTACAGATATTCCTCACACTAAATGTCAATCGAATATGCATCACATGTAAATTGAATCAATTGACTCGGCAAGATCTTCTCACCTTCATTTGACTAGCATTGATGTAATCTTGATCTGGGGAGTCTAGTATCACACGATTCCTCTGCACTAGAATGGTATGGCAAAATGAGAAAATGTTAAACAGAGTTACGCTACAAATAAACAAATATATTCTTTGATGGAGATATTGGATTCTATAGTTATATATGTATTTAAGTTTTACTTGTGGTCCTCGTTACGTACATGACAGGTATACGGACGGATCCAGGGAGGAATGGGGTGAACACCCCCCCCCCATCCACCCTCCCCCTCTATCTCCATTCCCGCCTTAAGAGAAAATCTTTCGTGATATCACCTATCCGCCTTCGAGTTACTTTTAAACGTATTTAAAGCTTTGAGTCGCCCCGGCCCCCTCATGTGCTCTTGACATTGTCATACATTTCACCACGGCGTTTTATCTCTTAAGTCGAGAATCTACGATTTAATAACGTGCACCAACAAAAAAAAAGGTTTCAACATTGGTGGGTGTGGATGTGTGATAGTGATGGGAAAAGGGACTCGTTCTGTTGTTCAAGCGCTGTGAGGGATCTCCATATATTGTGTACAGTAGCCAAACTGGATCGACATTTAGGTGTTGGGGAGAGGGCGGATCAGAGGACTTTAAACGTTGGAAGGAAGAGTTTCTAACGGAAGGGAGATACAAGGATTGACCTTAGTGTTCACCCAAGTTTAATGACATCCCTGCAAGATAAAAACCGCATATTAAAGAGAGTCTTATTTCATTACGACGGCGATTACAGTCCAAAGCCAAACTTGGTTATTCCACAAAATATACAAAATGTTAAGCATTTGGTTTCATAATGTTTATGACAAAAAGATTTGTTTGTATCCTAACATTACTTACATGGTAGGTTGTTTCCGTATCTATTCTTTGGTTGATTATCTGGAGTGCGTCCTGATCTTGTTCGAGAAGGCGGAGGATCTGGACAGAGGCTCTTCAAAGTCTGATTAAAATCATAGAGTGTGATATTTCATGTACATAACGAATTACTTTAATAATAATCATCTTTGGTGCTGGTATATGTTGTTACACTTGCACACATATATATTCAGCTTTAATGTTACCTACGTTCATACTGCACAGTTTATCCACCCCCATGGGAGTTTCAGGGTGATAATAAAATTGTCTGATTATCTACTAGCTGCCTCAAGGCTCTAAAAGCACTCAAGGAATTACAGTTACTTCCTAATAAGTATTAATTCACTAAACCTAATTAGTTTAGATAGTGCTGCGAGTCGGATTCGGAAAAACCCCACCATTCATTTGATTCACAGTTCAGAGATTCACGGATCACGTCATCATTATATTTTCATCGTAAGAGCGTAGTAGCTGGTTTATGAATGGGATACTTTCTGTTTTTCCATAAGTGGTTCCACTGGACACAGGGTATTCTGAAAAAGTAGTTCCGTTGAAACCAAGATATAATGCCCCCCTCCTCTCTCTCTCTCTCTCTCTCTCTCTATATATATATATGTATATATATATATATCTTTCTCTCTTCCATGTTTCCTGAATCTTCCGTCCATACACGTAGGCTTTTCATGAAAGGAGAGGTGGAAAAAGAACTATATAGGGCTCTAGGGTGAGAACCTACCATTGGCAGACGATCTTGGAGATAGATATAAGCTAAAGGACGTACTGTCTGTAGACATTAACTAACGATCAACCTATGTAGATAATTGGTAAATGTGTTACCTCGAACTCCTTGGTCATCTTGGACCGTCCACTTCCACCAACTGAAGTGTGCAAGTCTTGTAGATGATCAGTGAAATGAATGACAAGGATCAGGGTATTCCTCCAGAGAAGATCCTCCAGGACAGCCCCGTAGATGAAGGCATACTGCTCCTGTATTCATTTAAGGAACGAATGCTTCAAAATTGTTATCAATTCCATCTCATCTACTATACTAACACATCTCAGATTTACGACATGCGAGATTACGTGTGCATAATAACTGAAGAGTAGAACAAGCAATATCTTATGCGCATTCATAATGGTCTTGATATCAAATACAATTCCATTCATACATAGTTGATTTAAATCTACACAAAGAAACAAGAAATGATTGAAAATGTACATTGGTATAGGGGGATTTTTTGTTATCATTCAAGATTAAAATAGTACCTACAGAGTCTGTTTTATACGTCACAAAAGAAAATATGACCAAACAAAATAAAAATGTTTACATTTATATGCATAGTGGTATTGTTTTTAATTCCACATATGTCACGTAGATGAATCATAAAGCCAGCATCCGCAAAAATTTGCACACATTAGATTGAAATCCATCGGTCTTATCAGTGTCTAAGCTGAAAAAATAGTGTGCCAGGCGGCAGCATCATTGGGGGAAGGTTTGAGAGGTAACCGACCTGTGTTTGGACCATGTATGGTCGTTTCTGTCTGATGTTTGTCACGAAGTTGAAGACATCTACCATTCTAGTTCTCTTGGCGTGATCTACGACGCTATCAATACTGATCACCACGCCTGTTCGACCAACACCGGCACTGGATAGAAAAAGTAATCAGTCATGTTGTTGAAATGTGAATTTCTTGTTTTTTTAAGTATAAAGTTGCATTCTCTGCAGATTTAACGAAGTCCACGCACACTATCTATTGGACGATACAACAAAAGTGAGCAAATTTTTCAAGCATTATCAGTTGAAATATGCATAAGTGTGGAACACAATGTTTCCATGCAGTATAACCCGAGTATTATCCATCTTCTTTTAAGAAGCTCGATTTGGTTCAAATGGACTGTTACCATTTCATATTCTATCATTGTTGTTGAATTTCTAAAAGAATTTAATATTACCTAAATCTTGAAGACCCATTAATAAGCCCTTGCCAATGTCAATTGCCTTAATTGTGCATCACCTTTAAAAAAGAGTGAGCATTACGATGGGCGTTGTGGCGTGCGCCTGTAACCCAGCTAACGGTGGAAGTAATAGATTGCTTCAGCCGAGGACACGGTAAAAACCCAACACACACACACACACACACACACACTCACGATGACATGCTACGTAATCTGAACATAATATCTAAAAGCCATACAATGAAATATCAAAATTGACATTGAGTTGATTTCTTTAAAGTCTTGACGATGGCGTTTGTGGGATCCTTTTTTTTCAGGTGAAAATGGCCAAGAAGCCTACCTGCAATGGATGATCAGAGGATGAGTGTTGGGTCCATGATCAGCTTTGACTTCCTTGATGAACTGGAGCAGTGATGATGTGTGTTTAGGAACACCCTTGTCAGGCCACTCTGTGAAGTGGAACTGAGTAACGGTCCTGTAATCGTCACCCTAGTTCGGATAGCAACAAATTTCATGCTCAGTGATAATGAATGAATGTAAATGAAAATTTTATACCGATTATCAAACATCTTTGTCCGTCTTATTGTCAATGGTGTCACTTTCCTTTAGTGTTTCCATGAACTAAACTTAATTTTGACAACTTGAATCAGATACACCAAAATACGTCAAATAAAAATCAATCAAAAATAACTAGTCTACTCAGTACCCCTTTGTAAACGTTATCATAAAATTCACATCATATTTTAGCGCCTTTACGGCATGACAGGGAAATTTCATGCATTTCACAAGAAATGTTTGCATATATTTGGTAAAAGTTCCAAAACATGAAATATTTCCTTTAAAACATAAACTTCGCTGTTGTATTGTTTATTATTACGGAGTCACGTAAATTTTGCAGTCACAACAGAAACACTTCGACGAAAGACTATACAAAAATGGCGTTTTCTTAGACATTATCCAATGCATCAAAATGTATAATTATCTCAGACTTATACATATTAAATACTATTTTACTGGTTATGAACTTCTCCCGAAGGAGAGAAAGGCCTCACAAAATGACGTAACATTATATATGCAGATAACCCATGTACCTACCTTTCTCATTCCCATTTTCCGTTTAACTCCACCTGTGCATGCTTCCAGTGACACCAGCTCCAGTTTGATATTTCCAAACTCCACTAAATCGGCTTCTTGATTAGGCCAATACTGGCGGCATTTGATCTATTCCAAGCAACCAAACAGAAATAAATCAGATCAAAGAGCTGTCTAGGCTTTTATCTGAGCAAAAATATATTAAGTTTGGAGGAGTTCTTGTGTAATACCAATACCAATAATAATCTGTATTTATTTAGCACCTGGTCCGAAATACCGTTTTTAAGCGCTTTACTGATACTATTACTCCGGTCATCGGAATCATTCACGCAGAATGTGCACCATATACAAAAACTGGGGAGTTTTCGTACAATAATTATAATTACCGTGAGGGCATATGACAATTACTAAGACAATTTAGGGCTTTCGTCATCTTACCAGGTCTCCATTTCTCTCCTGGGTACGGAGTGGCAAGTGAAGAATAATGCCTTGCCAATTTACACCAATGCCGTGTCGGGAATCGAACGAATTTTGCCATTTTTATGTCGAGTGCTTAAATTACTCGACTACGACTTAGCCACAGTATAGATATTTAATCATCCGTCTATCCTAGAAAACTTCTTGTATTATTTGCATTGAGCAACGTTTTTAAACTTTAAAAACGTCACTCTGTAAATGTAAGTGTTTAACTCAACTGATTAGGTTAAGTTCATGTTCACCTTTATATCATAGAATAAGGGGTCTCCCTAATGTTTTTCTCACACACACACACACACACACACACACTCTCTCTCTCTCTCTCTCTCTCTCTCTCTCTCTCTCTATATATATATATATATATGCATATATAATCTATATATAATCAGGGGTCACTATCAACAGATTTGTGTAAATTTTTAATTCGCAAAAAACAGTCATTAATAAATTAGAAGGATAATTTTTGATTCACATCGTTCTTATGATGATTATGGTCAGGTGGTGACCCTGATAACAAAATATAACTAATTTTGAAACAATATTACGAAAAAGACCTTAGCAACCCAAATGTTGATTATTCATGAAGAAAGATGTTAAATCTGAAATCTTAGTAATTAAACTGACTTTATTCATTTGAATTCTTTCATTGGAGTGAAAATATTTTCGACTGACCTTATCTCCTTCCTGGAGCTTCGTTACCATGGCAATAGTCGTCACATTCTCCTGCCAGACCATCCTCCAGAAATCATCCATAGACGCATTGTTGGGTCCTTGAAAAAATAACGGATTGTCGGAGAATAGCGTTGAAAAGAGCCCTAACTAAAGCTTTTTAACTTGCACTCATCGGAGTAAAATGCAAGAATGAACAGAAAGCCGAAATCGATCAATAAAAACGGAAACTAAAAGGAACAAGACGCGAATATAACGAGCGCTGATTGGCTGTCTCAAGGATTATGGCTCACCGGAAAATCAGTTTCCCATAATGACTAGTGTCTTGCTTCAATCTACTATTTTTCTTCATTTATACAAGAATAACATATTGACTTTAAACAGAGTAACATAAAAATACGCGTTTTTCGATTTGTATTTATGAATTAATCATTGCTAAACTTGACGGAGAAATTAGAATAGACATACCTTGTGATGCAATGTAAGCCTTGTCATTGTCAAAACTCTGTATGTGAAAAGAAAATAATAGAAGTTCAATTACTCAAATATAGATCAAAATGAAGCTATACATATATCAAGGCTGGAGGGAATAATAGTCTCTGTTTATAACACTGCTTTTTCGTAGGATTTGTGTGTGTGTGTTTCCAATCGTCTGTTTTTCTTTGGTAATAGCAAACATGAAATGAGCTGTAAAAGGGTTCATAAGCATTTGTCCATATCACTTGCCCATTCTTGTAATGGCCAAAATTTAGCTCATTGAATATTTGCGCAGCATAGAAAGTACGACCATTCGGTACAAAGGTCTGACAATCAGACTATTTAATTGAACAACCGCGGTCGCTAAGATCGATTTGACAACTAACGGTCGTTATTTTCACGCAAAAAGGCATTTTCAAGCCATTATGTTATGAGGGAAGATCTATATTAGATTAACAATATGAAATGCCAATGTAATTTAACCTTCATTTTTTGGGCTTCAAATAGAGCATTGTACCTTTAATACAACAATATTTTTTTGGTTTTTTATTCTGTCGCATAATTTGATTATTATTTTTTATATGGGACGCTTTCTTCACCGACAACCCACTTTTAATTATAGCATCATAATGACATTTCATTGTAATGACAATGTTTTTACAAATCAATGCTTAGCTAGATTGATACATGCCACCTTACTTACGGGAATGTAAGACGCGTTGAAGTAGTCGGAATGAGGATCATTATCGATGACTTCTAACTTCACCCTCGCCGAATCATCTGGATAAAAGATAAATATTCAAACAACTCAAGCCACCCCCGGGAGTCAACCAGTAGTTTCTAACGACATTTTTTTTTGTTTAGTAATTTTCTTCGTTTATCTTTGTTATCATTTTCCGGTAGAGTAGTTTACAAATTATAGTGACCATTAAAAACAGAAATCACTATTCGGATTTCACATGCAGAGATTTGTTTACGGATATCAACTATCTTATTTTTTATTGAGAGTGCAATTGTACATGCAACATTTCTTTAGAGAATAACTATTTCAAATTAATATTCTATATATATAATCATGACATTGAATTGATAGCATACATCATTACACACATTGTTACAATTTAAATCATACGAATTGCGGTGCTCCGTAAATACATCAGCATCAGCTTTATTGAAGCACGCTTGTATAACTATCCCTAACAAGTTAACAATATAATACAGTCCAGGATATTTGTTGTACTCACATGGCAAAATATTCTTGTATCTGTTTTTTGTGAAGTTGATCGTCTCTCGAGCCACGGTCTGAGGATAGATGTCTGGGCCAGGTAAGTCCTAGGAGAGAAAGGAAATATAATCTCAGTTTTAGTTCATTGTTTCACATTTGAAATTCAATAATGTTTTCAGAAAACACTACAAAGATGAAGGCTACTTGTTTTCGAGACTAGAACAAACATCGGTTTGATTGCATACAGTAGGAAAGGAAAAGTTGCGGTTAAGAAGAGGAAAATATGGAGGAGCCTAAGGTGAAAAATGATATTATAATGCCCACGGCGATAGACTTCTTATATAATTTTTTGTAATGTTTCGTTTCAATTCATACGAGGAACTTGGAAAGATCATCTAAGGATATCGAGTCTCGAACGGCATGACATAATGAAACAGCGACCTATCCAGCACAGTGCAGAGGGTTTGCCCCCCAGTGTTCTCAACAGCACAGGAATACATTAAAGGTTATACAAAGTTTTGGGAATTTAAAACATTTTGGGGATAGTGATTCTTTACAATTTTGATACATTTGAATGCCCCCGTGAATGTATTATAAGCACTAGAAAATTTAGCCCCTAAAACACTTCTGCTTTCGGGAAAAATTGAATATAATAATTTACCGGTGCTCCCGGTAAATTTTGATTTCAAATAGCGACTACGGCCGTACAATGGTAGCTGCGACCATGACAATCTCAGAATATGTAGTTGTGATATATAATTTCCAAACGGAAATAGCTAATCGGTCGATTTTAGTCAAGAAACATTGTTTTATAGCTTAATTAATATCTTGACCTTGAGAGGGAGCTATACAACATAAAGAGTTTATTATCTAAAATTTCACAACTGTAGACTCGATTTCAACTGCGACAACGATCACTGAATATTGTAGGATCGCATATGCTTGCAATATGTTCATTTAAACCAAATTCATGACCCCATACCAAAACTTTGTATAACATTTAAGGCTACGTGCAGCGCATATTTGCGTGCCAAAAAAATGTTTCATGCGTAAAACCTTAAAAAGAAAACATGTTGCATGTTGAGAGGAATTGTCTCCATTTAACCTACATGAAATTCCTGGGAGAAGAGCGCAGTGTGTCTGTTCTTGTTGACGAACGCAGGAAACTGAGCCATGGGTATCGGTTGTCGTGTGGCAAAAGGTTTGTTGCTGGATCTTTCAGGAGATCCATCGGTTGAATCGAGGTCTAGGGACTTAGTTGCCCGTACAAAGGGCTTGACGACTACAGCTGGTTTAGGTCTCGTGCTCCTTGAATGTGTTTGGTCTGGGTTCGAAACAGAGTCGTGTCCACTGTAGTCGTTTCCTGACACAATACATACAGAATTAGAAATAGTCAAATGTACTCCTTTTCAAAATAATAATCTTTTAAAGTCCACTCTAAATTTTATTAAGTTAAACCGAAAATGGAAATTCTATTTGCCCAATTGATCGTGAGCCCGGCAGCCACTGAGCAGCGCCAGATCGATGTTGCTCTATCCCTTATTGTTGAACTCCAAACAAGGTAGCAGCAACTCCCGCCTTTTACGTCTTTTGGTATGACGCGGCCGGGGTTCGAACCCACGACCTCCGGGTTGTGAGGCGGACGCTCTACTGACTGAGCCAACACACCGGTGATAGGAAGAGGCCTAGGGTGGCACAACAAAGGATCAGCCTATGTTCAGCAAATAACCAAATAAATTCATAGTTCTTCCAAAAGGTTGCCTTGTTCGTGGCATTATGAAACAGTCCAGGGCATAACTTGAATTGTAAGAATTCTACGGGGCTAGACAAAACAGAATATGTAGGCTCTTCGTTGTCAATGACATTGTCGCTCCATGCTATTATGATGATTATACTTTTTGCACCTGATCATGATACTTACGATAAAACATTGGCCTACCTTCTAATGACGTGTCGTGGAAACCAGCTGGTGCCTGATATTGGTCCTCTACGTTTCCTTTTTTAGACGGATTACTATCATTCCTTTGAAAAGATAAGAAATTTTTTCAGTGCGAATTACGAGAAGCGAACAATACGTGATGAGAAGAGACGAGAGCTAGTAAATACTAGGCTTTTAGAAGAATTTTATCGGTAGATTATTCCCTAAAGAGGGAAATGGAGAATTAATAGAGTGTTGTCAGACATTAATTTTCAAATTTTCCTATTGTGCCTAGTTTCCACTTGCATCGAAAGTATGGTAGTACTCATGGTGGATTACAGTATAATTACGGTATAAGTGAGTGACAGCATTGTACATGGAAATTTCTTTGTACATGGAAAGACTGAAAAGTTGAAATATTTCACGAACCTTCGTCGTTTGAACACAATGATGACTACGATGATGATAATCAGAATAAGCAGAATGGCGCCCACGGCTCCCCCAGCTGCCGGTGCTATAGGAGCGCCACCCAAACCCCCCTCATCTGGTCCAATCATCATTGGAGTCGAAACGGTTGATGAACTCGGTGTCGTTGTTGGCACAACTCCATTTGGGATGAAATGAAATCATACATTTTAATTTTTCTTCAATAATTTTTAAAAATTTGATTTGCCAATATGTTTCTATTTAATCCCAGTATGGAAAAAATATATATTCCGCCACTAATAAGAAAGAAAATGGGCTTTTTATTGATCGCAACTTTTCAAATTAATAACTTTCCTATTTTTAATCGAAATTCGTTCAAACCTGCTCCTCTCATTTTTCTGCTCCCATTAAAACTTTTTATCATCGTAGACTTACCCCTCAACATTTTGAGAACACGTATATCATTATTTTCAACATCACATTTATTACAGCTAAAAAGCAAGCGCGTTTAAGTTAGAAGAAATAGCATAACATAATCGCAATTGTATTTCAGTTTTGACGCTGTATATTAATTTATGAAGAGATGAGAGGACCCCGAAGCGTATCAAGTTGGACAGTACAAATTATGTCTGCAAAGTGTTTGCATATTATTTAGATTTTTCCCCATTTATTCAGAGAGCATTTCATATCTGTAAATGTATGGCCGAGGGCAGCTATCCGTAAATATATCCCCTGTTATTAAACTGTTATGAACACAATCGCAGAGGCTTTTGAAAAATCATCCTGGAGCAAATCCGATTGCTTGAAATGTTTGAACACTTTAATGACGCATTTTATAATCTTTTCCATGGGATATGTAAAGAGGTATTGAAATCGCCCTGAGTTGATTCTTGAAAGTCTTTGCAATGGTGTTTAAGATACTGGAAATGGGTTCATTCTAATATTCAAAGCAATCCTTATAATTTCATATGTTTTATCTTGATATCTCACACCATTCAGAGAAAGAGGCAGGGGTAGACAGGTAGAGAAATAGAGATAAAAGAGAGAGAGAGAGAGAGAGGGAGAGGAGGAGGGGAGGGGAGAGGGGGAGAGGAGGGATGAAGGAAGGGATGTTGGAAGATGGTCAAATTATGAAAGGAAATGACTCAGCAGGGGGAAATAGATTATAGAACCTACTTTTTTCAGTTGTGAATGTCAATGCTGCTCCTTGTGCTCCTTCACCGTTGATACCATCCCGTATCGCTGCAATATGAACAGAGTACGTTGATCCTGCTTCAAGTCCACTGACGTTATACATGACCATCTCAGTGGCATTCTCAGCAGACCTCTTCGATACGGAACGGTCCGTATTGTTTACCATGCTTGAAGGTTGTACTTCTTTAGTCAACACGATAATGTTATCTGATCGTACGTATATCTTGTATCCAACAATAGGTCCGTCCCCGGTATCAGAGCTTGGGTCCCATTGCCTCCAACCAATGACTGCATGGTAGGATCCAGATTCAAGTAGTTCTGGTACACCATTATAACTTGGTAAAACTGCAAAGTGTAAACAAATAAACACAGAAAAAGTGGGTAAAATATAGCACTCATTTATTGTAACGCATTGGCTCCTTCCTCCCTATCCGCCCAGAAAGTAAAAGAACAAAACAAACAGGAGGTAACGAAACCATAAATTGTACCACGATAACTTGTAACTAGTATTTCACTATACTGTACCTGCAATTTATTTCAAGATATTAATATGGGACATAATCTTTTGCAATCAATATGTGAAATATTCGAAATAATATAACCATACGTGCATCCTGGAAAATGACCTAGCTGAAAACACGTTTACAATTCTGGATAAATCATGACAGTAGACCAATGGTTCCATGACACATGCTCCGCCGACGATTGCTCCGCCGACAGTTACTCCGCAAAACGCGACAATTGCTCCGCGACATTTGCTCCGCGACATTTGCTCCGACGTCAAATGCTCCGCCGACAGGTGCTCCGCCGACAGTTGCTCCGCCGACAGTTGCTCCGCCGACAATTGCTCCGCCGACAGATGCTCCGCCGACAATTGCTCCGCCGACAATTGCTCCGCCGACAATTGCTCCGCCGACAGATGCTCCGCCGACAGTTGCTCCGCCGACAGTTGCTCCGCCGACAATTGCTCCGCCGACAGATGCTCCGCCGACAATTGCTCCGCCGACAATTGCTCCGCCGACAATTGCTCCGCCGTCAATTGCTCCGCAAAACGCGACAATTGCTCCGCCGACATTTGCTCCGCCGACATTTGCTCCGCCTGAAGCGACACTTGCTCCGCCGACATTTGCTCCGCCGACAATTGCTCCGCCGACAATTGCTCCGCCTGAAGCGACAATTGCTTCGGTGACATTTGCTCCGCCGACAATTGCTCCGACGACATTTGCTCCGCATGAAGCGACACTTGCTCCGGTGACATTTGCTCCGACGACATTTGCTCCGCCCAAAAAGTGTCCCATTAAATACAAATGCTACTAGTACTACGACAAATGCTTCGCCGACAATATTTTTTTTTTTCACGGGTTGTTTTTGTTTCTTTTTTTTTCTTCATTTTCTGAATGCATTTCATGAAATTATGTAAATGAAATGAAATGAATGAATGTTGATGATGTGGGAGGAAAAAGCAGTTGCCTAAAAGTCATTTCGAATATACTGAAATAACTTTCCATCTATCACTGTACGTCCCACATAATGTACACTAAACACTCATTACATGTCATGGGAAGTTTTTTTTTTTTAAGTAGAGCAGCAAGCCACATTCCCCAATACGCGCATACCTCCTAGTTAATTTCAAACAGCTCATCAATATGTAAGACCTGAAATTACCTCAATGAAAGAAGACTAATAACATGAGAGAAAAGAAAAGAGCAAAGAAGACAACCGTTTTTTGCTATTCCCCATAATGTTTGATTTAAAAAAATAAAAAATAAAAAGTTATAGCTCCTTACGCAAGTTCTCCGGCGAAAGATAATTACTGGCCGCTCAAAATCTGTTTCATGTATTACTCATTAGCTGATCCAAAGTTCAAGGCTATTTCTCTCTCTCTCTTTCTCTCTCTCCCATGCTCCTCCTTTTCCTGTTTACACCGTTTTCTTGTCTTCTTTGCTCTTTTCTTTCCTCTCATGCTATTAGTCTTCTTTCATTTCCATCACTTCTTCTCTGCTCCCCCTCTCGAGTTCTATTTCTCTCGTGAAATTGAAACGTAAAGTAATACAATCATGTAGTACATTCTTGTTTAGAATAATATTTTCAATAATATCCAGTCCATTTTCTAAAGGTTTCTTTCCTTTAGTTAAGTGTATGTAGCTTTAATATATATATGTTAGTGTGTAAAACACTCCGTTTCATTCGAGTACTTTGTTTTCACTGAATAATTTAAGGGACTCACGAAGCCACCGGAAGAAGGGCAATTGGCTTATCATGAAGAACTAACATCAAACTGCAACAAAATGATTTGTATAAATGTGAATAAGCAGAAAGGCTGCCATCTCATTTTCCCGTCTGAATGGGTTCTCTTCCTTACGTATATAAGTGCCCTTATTTTCTAAACTTTTTTTCTTCTTTTTTTTTCTTCTTATTTTCTAAACTTCCATGATGACCTAGTATATTGTATAATGCTTTACCTAGTAAGATGCATTGATCGAGGTAATTTCAGGTATTACATATTGATGAGCTACTTGAAATTAACTAGGAGGTATGCGCGTATTGGGGAATGTGGCTTGCTGCTCTACTTTTTTTAAAAATCTTCCCACGACATGTAATGAGTGTTTAGTATACATTTAATATATAGGACGTACAGTGATAGATGGAAAGTTATTTCAGTATATTCGAAATGACTTTTAGGTAACTCCTTTTTCCTCCCACTTCATCAACATTCATTCATTTCATTTCATCTACATTATTTCAAGAAATGCATTCAGAAAATGAAGAAGAAAAAAAGAAACGAAAAAAATAGGTGTAAAGAAAATATTGTCGGCGAAGCATTTGTCGTAGTACTAGTAGCATTTGTAGTTTATGGGACACTTTTTGGGCGGAGCAAATGTCGTCGGAGCAAATGTCGTCGGAGCAATTGTCGCTTCAGGCGGAGCAATTGTCGGCGGAGCAAATGTCGGCGGAGCAAATGTCGGTGGAGCAAATGTCGGCGGAGCAAATGTCGGCGGAGCAATTGTCGCTTCAGGCGGAGCAATTGTCGGCGGAGCAATTGTCGGCGGAGCAAATGTCGGCGGAGCAAATGTCGGCGGAGCAATTGTCGCTTCAGGCGGAGCAATTGTCGGCGGAGCAATTGTCGGCGGAGCAAATGTCGGCGGAGCAAATGTCGGCGGAGCAATTGTCGCGTTTTGCGGAGCAATTGACGGCGGAGCAATTGTCGGCGGAGCAATTGTCGGCGGAGCAATTGTCGGCGGAGCATCTGTCGGCGGAGCAATTGTCGGCGGAGCAACTGTCGGCGGAGCAACTGTCGGCGGAGCAACTGTCGGCGGAGCATTTGACGTCGGAGCAAATGTCGCGGAGCAAATGTCGCGGAGCAATTGTCGCGTTTTGCGGAGTAAATGTCGGCGGAGCAATCGTCGGCGGAGCATGTGTCGGGTTACCTAGACCAATATCAAAAACTGAACTTAAAGTAAAATACAAAGCTGATCATGATTTATCATGCATGGAAAGCTTTTCATGTGTTACATGTACTCGTTTTTAAAATCCATAGACCATTTTAAAACTTGTAGAGTACAACGTGGAAACTCTTCCAATAAACTGCTATGGGGTCTGCTTACCAAAGAAATCTCTTGGAGGCAGCCTTACGAAAGCAAACTCTGAGGAACTGTCAGGTGCCCCGACGAAGCAGTAAATTGGTTCTTCTGGTCCCATATACTTGTGGATATATGAATTATTGATGGTTGTTCCTGATGTATTAGAGCTAACATGAGTTATCCAGGGTTCCGTAAAAGACGTCCCTACATCTGCCTTCACATAATCAGAGAGAAGATTTTGCCCTGATGACGCTGTGAAGGAACAGGAGAAGATCGCCACTCCTGGGTTGGTCTTTTCCAAGCTCGTCTCAAAACGATCTAAATTTGGTGAAAGAACACAACAGCATTGTGAAACGTGGATCACAGTTTAACAGACAGATGGAGAAGAAGAGAGAAATAATCCAGGGGAATGACACAATTTTAAACACTTTCAAAAAATGAACTTATAGGCAATATCTTTATCAACTGTATAGCGAACATTCATAAACTTCTTTCGGATTTTCTAACATGTCATAGTCATGAATTAGTACAATCAATAGGTGATGAGGATAGGTAATTGCACACAATTATGAGGGCTGAACAGTGACGGTAAGCTTCAAATTAAAATATTTATTCTTCTGTTCGTCACTGCTTGAATAATATAAGCAGCTCATAATTATTACTGAAAGTATTTTTGTTTAATGAAAACAGTTTTAATACGGAGAATCGAATTATGTTACAGACACATATTTCCTTCAACATCAGTTACCTGTTTGGCATTGATCCCCCATCCATCTTGGATGACAGGTGGATGACAAACAATCACCAGTCAGAAATTTACAATCCTCAACACCGCCAGAACAATGGCATGTCTTCAAACAAGAGCTGAAACATCCTGAAACTGAACAAGATAAATACATACATACATAACTAGAGTTTAAATTGAAAGTAATAAAGGGATATCACATAATATTATTTTTTTTATTTTATAAAATAAACATTTTGCCGAACGTATACAATTACTAAGCATTTACAAGTAGTTTTAATAGCAAATCATAATAGTAATACAATAAACAAGATAAACAATGCGTATTCAGAGTTGTTGATTATATGGATATCTTAATGACGACATATCAATGTATTTTAAAAATTGTTAGAAATATACATCGGAAGGGATTTCTTAAATGGCTAATTTAATTGCTAAATTTATAAAAAGGTAACTTTGTCTCAGATTCTGAAACAAAATCAAGGATTTAGCTCATGCTGCAAGGGTAATTATAAACTTTTAGGTCAGTCAGGAACTCCATGACTTTTACAAGCAGATCGCCTGTCCGATTATCAAGATATTTATTATTGGAAATCGAAATCAAATTTTGCGTGTTCCTATCAGTATTCATAACACTACAGTCAACTGGGAAAATAACCGGTGACTCCAAATGTTAAGTTTTTTGAGGCACTTCTTGATTATTTTGAAGCGCGTTTTTTTTTTTTTTTTTTTTTTTTTTTGGGGGGGGGGGGGGGGGAGTGGTGGGGGGGGGGGTGCGGGCTTCAATATATCACCATATCACATATACTGATAACACGTAGGGCCGTGCATCTCAGATTTAACATTGTTCAACGATGCCTTTAAGAATAATCTTACATGTCATACAGTTGGCTGGAAACTCGACAGAATCAGTGATATATCCCAAGTCGCACTGCCCTTCAACCTCGTAACAGTATCCAGAATCTTTAAGGCATGGTGTGCCATTCATGCAATTGCATTTCTGTGTACAGTTAGTCCCGAAGTATCCGTTTGGGCAAATAGAAGGAACTGAAATGAGGAAATATATATATTATTTATTTAAAAAAAAGAAAAAAACAGAAGTCATGGTCAGCATTAAATTACCTTCCTTAAATATGAACACTAATTTACCATGTCATTACGTTAAACACAAACAAATGAAGAGAGCATATAATATACATTTTGATTCCGTAAATTGTTTGTCGGTTTACCGATGGAATGAAATCGCGGCATAGGAATATTCTGCAAAATGTGGCTTGCTACACCAGAGTAAAAAGGTATTGCGTTTGTATAAAAAGTCAACTTGAAAGTGTGGGACTTATCCCGGGTCTTTTGGGTTTTAACATGGAAATTGAATCAGCAACGTTATAAACATTCATACGTCATTTTCAAGTGAAGTATATGACTGTACCTTGACATGCTGAACCAGACTGTCCTTGCGAGCAATCTCCAGGACATTCTCCAGTGACGTCATCGCAATCTGCTTCATTAGTACAGTGACATTTTTGAAGACAATCAGCTCCAAACATACCATCTGTGCATGCTTTAGGACGAAATAAAAGTGATATTACGGGATTTATGGATCCTTTGAGGTATTATTTAATCAATTTGCTCCCCAGAATATTGTAATTCGAGTCTAATGCAAGTAATTAATGCACGTGTGCTCGTCCGGAAAACATAATTCTTCATGCATATAAATTAACCCTCTATTCATATATATATATAGATTTGGATTTGAACTGTGCAAAATTGTTTAAAACGCAAGGTTGAAATAACATTTTTATTCCCAATGTCAATAATGCTAGCAGTCGTTTTATCACTAACTTTCATTGCAGTAGATTCCTGTATATCCAGCTAAACAGGTGCATCCATAAGGATCAGGTAAACAGATCTGACTTCCAGCACACTTGTCCAGAGGATGATCGGTACCACATTCAAACTCACAGTCCCAGCCAAACGTATGACTCCCACACGCTGCATGAAAATGTATATATTAGAGTGATTAATTTAGATATAACTCAAATGTTCTAATATGTTCCTTTATCTGATTTGAGAAGAGACGAGCATGTAATATTCAAACATACTAAAATCATTAAAAACTGTCACGTCCCAAGCAGTAATATTGTATTTTCTTCTTGTTTTGATTGGGAAAAAAGTATGTTTTTGTCAATTTAATCATTGAATTTAACTGATGGCTACTTATGGAAACAAAAACAAGTGAAAACTGGTTCATCTTCCTACAAAGTTTATGTACGTATTTAAATAACCAGTGTTCCATTATCCTTACTAATATTATCATTTATTATGTTTATCATCATTGTTATTGTTATTGTCATCGTTATTAGATTTATTATACTCATTACCATTATTTTTATTATCAACATCATCTTATTTCTTTTCCCTTCCTTCTTCTTCTATTTCTTATTTCTGTTATTATTAGTCTACTCCTTCTCCTCACTCTTCTTCTTTTTCATCTTCTTCTTATTTCTCTCCTTTTCTTCCTTTTTTTGAATTTTTTTGTTGTTGTAATTATTTTTGGAATTACCGTTATAAAACGAATACTTTATCATTGTAAAGAATCATTTCGAGGCAAAGAATGTATAGGAAATATAATTAAAAAAGTTTCACATGGTAGTATTTTCTTTAGGGATTTCTCAGTTTTACCTTGGAGACAGTTCTTTCCAGCATAGCCAGGAGGACAGATGCATGTTCCTGAAAGCTCGTAGCAAACACCCCCATTATAACAATTATCACACAAACGATCGCATAGCGGTGGATTCCAACTTCCAGAAGGGCACTCTGTTAATACAATGAAACATGGACAAATATAATGTACGTCCCACACGTACGTTAATCCTGGAGATGGGTGTTATACCCCACCCCACAAGCAAATGTTTCTGTGGGGGGAGGGGGGGGGGGGTGGCCTGTACAAAATACCCCCATAGTAAGGAAATCAATAATTGTTCAAAAAGTTTTTAAAAATTGATTTAAAAGCCTTACAATTAATACGATACAGTCAAAATCTATAGGGACCGCTCAAGGGAAACGCAAAAAGTGGTCTTTATAGACAGGTTCCTTTAATACATGGGTTACGATCTCAACATTTCTCCTTCATTCCACACACAAACACACACACATGCACACACGCGCACACCCACACAATCCTCTGAATGGAGTTAGGTCACTGATATAGGAAAACAGATAGCTTAATGAAATAAAGTGGCGCAAAAAGCCATGTTTGTAAAATGCACAGTGGTTGAAAACAATTGTAAAAAGTTTTAAAAAAAAACACACATTAGGCCATGAAGCTGAATGTTTTATGTAGTCCTTGATTAGGCTTTATACTACAGAAAATGTCACTCGATCATGGAAATTACAACTTAACATTCGACGATATTATTTTTGCTTTACTGTCGGTCAAGCCAAAATATGTCTAGTCGATTTCGGTCGGTTTTTCTTGATTGTTGTTATTTCAATGACCATAGCTACAGAGCTGAAGGGTAACAAGTTCCAGTGAATTTATACCCTTCCGACCAATATGCAATGATATAGTTTTGTTGTGTAAGGAAAATAGAATTCGAACCCGTTACGATGAGTCTTATGAGGCTGAATTGATGTTGTTCCAACGTTTCATCCATGTACGTCACATACACACCGGCGTCTGAGACAGATGCAGTCTGGATTGTGTGTGATAGACTGCCAGAACTACTTCCAATACGTGAATTAGCCCAGTCTCCATCAGTGAATTTGCGCCATCGTATCTCGCCTTCTTGTACCATCCCTGTCGTGTTCACCACACTGAGTGTGATATCATCTCCAATGTATATTGTCTTTGTAAACCGACCATCAATGGGTTGCAATTGACCTATAAAGAATAAGAAAGAAACAAATCGACAACACGTTACATTCGCATCTTATTTTTTGCTCAGTGATCCTATAAAATTGCGTCATCACGTCTTCCATTCTCTCTTTCTCTCGTTCCATTTATCCTCCGTTAATTTTACATTGTTATTAACTAACTATTCTTAGAATGACACAGTAGGGGAGAAAACGTTTCAAGCATTAGCATTTATGGTATTAAGGAGTGTTTTGAGTTTCAACATAATCATAACATTTGCTTTTTAGAAACATTTACTTTGAGTTGAAATGGTATGTTGTATTATAATTTAAATGTAAACTATTAACAACTAAATTAAAGGTACTATGTCCCTTTTGCAGCCAACCTCGAATTCTGTAGAACTTTGCAGGAATTATGAATATGTCATGTATGTCCTATCTGTGAAATTTAAACGTTAGCAGTGTCCAAATATTAAAATAATTCAAGGAAACCCGTTAGACCTCACTGTCAGACACTATAATTCGTCGCTGTTTTCACGAAGTGACGGTAGTGAAAAAAAATTGCATTCACTTTGCGTTACGATTTTCCTCACTACCGTCACTTCGTGAAAACAAGGACGTATTGAGTGACTGACTGGCTTTTTTTCTTCTTTGGTAATAACATACATATAATGAGCTGTAAAGGGTACATGAGCATTTGTCTACATCAATAACCCACGTCTTGTGATTGCCAAAATTAAACTGATTGAATCTTTGCACAGCATAAAACGTATGAACATTCGGTACAATAGTCTGAAAATTAAGACTATTACTTATTGGCTCTATATAGCTCCTAAGTCGATTTGACAACTAATAGTCGTTTTTTCCCACTTGAAGACATTTTCAAGCCCAACCTTTTTTTAGAGAAGTTCTAAATTAGTATTATCTTTCAAATGCCGTTTGAATTTAACCTTTTCATTTTTTGGCCTGCAAATGGGACAAAGTACCTTTAATAATAACCTTATCAAATTAGTATCTGGAAATTGATTTGTCCCAAAATGTGTCGTAAGAATGTGACAGATTAAAGCTGACATATGAACATGTTCAACAAACGCCCTCATTTTTAGCAGACCACCTTGCATTCTTCAGTTACGAAAAATACACACACTTATTTAACTAGAGGTATGAATAACTTAGTTGTTAACTGTTTGTGTATATGTACGGGAAGAAAGAAGAATGCCAAGAGGAACAGATGTCATTCTACTGGCTGTCACTGTAGAACATTCGAAAAACCCAAAGCCCTCCTTAGTAGCTGGAAGAGTCTGCCTCAATACTAAAGATGATACACTATCGCTGTCTCCTGGAGCTGTGTAACTATCGGAAGTTATAGACGCGGTCAGACGGACGAGTCTTCTTGTGGATAATGTGAGAATCTCCTCATTCTCTGAGCCGAGTAGACAGATAAATGACTCATCCGTCAGTCCTCCGCTGTAGGGTGATGGAGTAGCTGCCAGTAGACGTACAGGAAGGATCTGTCGCGGACCTATGAAAACAAATTATTATGTTTTTCAAGTAATCTGTGTCCGCCTAGTATTTTCGTTAGAGGAGAAGTAAAGGAAAATATAGGTAACGTTTCCATGGCAATGACCTTTCTCACACTTGAATCTTACATTTCGTATCTTATGATAACGGTTGTTACATACCCAAAAATTCCATACATATATTTTTAAACAAAGTTGCTTCCTCTTCTTAAACTGAATAGTATGGAAAAGACACACTCGAGACAAAAAATATATGGTACTTTATGAAGCAACGTTTCCCTGGAGTCATGAACTGCATATAAAGCCTAAATAACTAGCAATGTTTAATAAGCAGATTTCCTTTTTCATTTGATAAAGTATTTCCCTTTTTTGCCTTGAAAGAACGGTACAAGCGTTGATAACAATGGGTGGTATTCTGCTAAAGTGGAAACCAACAGTGGCTCTAAAACAGTGGTTAAAAATATTCGAATATAATCAATCGATATCGTGTTTCGTATGTGGAATTCAAATTGAATGTAGTAAGGTACAATGGGCATCATTTGAGCATGGACTATCATAACGGGTAACCCTGAATCCTGAATACAGATAATATAACTATGATGTCAATACTCACTCGGAGGTTTTTCACATGCGAACCTAAGGTATGATGTACATCGTCGTTTTCTCCATCCATTGTTAACCTGCTGATGAACACATCTTTCATTCTCAAATAGGGTTGCATTAAAATCCGACCAAGCAGGAAATCTTAAAAGGTAAAATATGTTCCAAACACAGCAATGTATTATCACAGTTTTAATAAAGAAATATTTTACTTCAAAGGGAATAATCATAAAAGATTGCAAACGTTATGTCAGGGGTATTAATATAGTTCAAATGTGTATTAATTCAAATATAGATATAAGTAATTATGCCTTTCTTGCAAATCATGTTCAGGGCTTGCATTTTAGGCTCAATGAGGTATGCATACAAATTCAGATAATCGTGTTATTACAGTAAAATGCCAATTTCTTCCTATTGCATTCTGTCTGCAACATGATTTGATCGCAGTTTGTCATGAGTAGAATGCGTAGGAAAACGTCAGCAACCGCGGACCACTCCATAGAAAACTACCTCAAACCGCGGACGTACCTGCAATGGGGGACCGTCCACGGTTGCGATACCGGTTCCGCCGTATCAAATTTACGACGTAGGGGGCGTTTGAATATTAGATGTCACAGCGTGTAGGCAACATCGACTGGATCAGTCCGATGTGTATCGCGAAATGTCACAGCACCCCCTTTTGACTGCGCGGGAGAGGCGCTCGCTACCTGGATCATCCCAGGTACGTCCGCGGTTTGATGTAGTTTTCTATGGAGTGGTCCGCGGTTGCTGGTGATTACCTACGCACACACACACAAGTACTAAACTTGGTCCACGGTTGACAGCATTTCCCTGTAGTGGTGTGCGAGATATTTTGGGGTGCGTGTTTGTGTGCGCGCGTGTGTTTGTGTATCAAATATACAGTTTAACACATACCCATTATTATCGAGTAAAGTACCATCAATCCATTGGAACGCGTCCTCTTCATTGATATCATCGAGTCCAAACCAATACGAGTTACCTCCAGCCAGCTTAATGAGATGCAACTGGTGAATGCGGTGAGAGAATATAACAGAAAGAGAAAATCACCGATTATAATTTCTAATGTCCCATGATCACGTTAGCGGAATACGTTTATCGATTTGTCTATAGTCTATGACATCCTCGGAAGTTTAAGTAGCTGAAATAAGATATAATTTGTTTTCCTTATACTTGGCTCACCGCGTCTATATCATGCTTCTATAAAACATTTTACACCCTTTCTCGAATGTTTTCACACACCCAACAATATTTGTTATTCCTTTCACATTACTTTTTATGTTTTCATTTTCTATTTTTTGCACACACAATGGTTAGATTAAAGCCCGTTGAAGTTTTTCTCATGTTTTATTTATACGTTCCATATTTGGAATTACAACTATTTATTATCACGATGCGTCCTTACATTGATTTTGTTTGTTTTAGGCTGGGCAAGATCACCTCCTTGAGCCTGGCAGAACTTTCTGGCAAATGAATATGACGTCATCGAGGATTGAGAGATATAGTACAGGGTTCCATCAAGGCGAGTCCACTCATATTCTGGGACGTCTATACATGGATTAAAACAAGGTGATTGCCATTGTGAGACGTTCATTTTGTTATGAGACAGGTAGAAAAGAGAGATTTCAAACCATTACGTGTCATTACATTCATCATGGTCAAACTGATAAAAGACGTGACGAGATATGAAAATATCATGGATTCACTTTTCGGCATTGCACTTTAATGTAACCTACTCCTCTCCACCCAGGCGTCTTTGGTACCCTGTGGTATGCAAACGTCTCCTTTAATGGGTTTACACTGTGTGCGTCTGTAACATGACACCTGGCTAGAGTACTCCTCAGAGAGTGGAGAATGTCCACACATTGTGTGTGTGTGGACAAACCTCGATCCGATAATCACAAAATGATTTACTGTTGCGAACATACTTGTCACACGAGAATTTTGCAGGTACACTTTGTGGCGGACGTGTTCCCTTAGTCTCGACTCCAACTTCGATGGGCGAGACAATCATAACAATGATGTTATGATGATATACCGTTTTTGGATAGCGCATGTCACATTATCATAAAATGTATCTATGCAATTATAAACGATATTGGATACTATAAGCTTCGTTTCTAATCGAAGCTCTTAACGCTCAGTGCAGTCAGGGAATAATTCCTGTCAGGTGCCTACTTACTACACGTGGGTCTAGTGCGGCAAACGTAATTAATGACTTTCCAGATGACATTAGTGGTGCAGCAAGGATTCGATTCCTCTTTTTGTAGCATAGATAAGAGGGGGGGGGGTCATATTAAATCAACAATATAAATTAAAAGATTCTGCAACTCGCCAACAGTGGAGTAACGGGTCTCTTTGACATTACTAGGTTCATTTAATAGACCTACAAATATTTTTTTTAAAGCAATTATAAATGGAGAGAGAGAGAGAGAGAGAGAAAGAAAGAAAAATTTAATTTTGGCAATGAAACAGAAACGACCATACGTGTAAAGTCTATAGTGGCTTACCCTGATAGCGTTCACATATGAAGGGTCGGTCGAGATGACACGGAATATCAAGCCATCCCATGTCTGAATCAGAAGATAGAGTGGCACAATCTTCATTACCTTCGTTGTTGGGTTCAGCATCATTCCATGCTGAATACCTGTGTGTATTAAATAAAGGAGAATGGAGAACCAAAATCACGAGTATGCAGACGATTATACGAAAGAATAGTTCTATAAATCTTTTTTTTTCTTTCTTGAGGGTGTGTGTTTCTCTGCATTGTTTAGTCAGATATGAAATCCGAATTCTGATGATTGGATTACAATGACCTATGTTATATAAGTGCACTGTTTTATAAATTTGCTTTAAAATGTTTGGTTCCGAAACTGGATTTTGAGCCGAACCATCCGTAAGTATATATATATCAATCAAAAAGTAAGCTTCCCGACATCACTTTTCAATCTAAATTGAAAATACGAAAAGCGTAGTATACAATACTGTTTTAACGATATTATTTGATTGCATATTGAAAAGTTGTATTCTTTATGCGGAATAATGTTTCTTTTAATATGAAAATATGTATTTACAAGTTAAAACACATCGTCCCTTGCATTAAGACATGCAAAGTTCTTTTTTTAATAGTTTTTACAACCGACTGCAATAATTTTATTATCAAAGCATAAGCTAGAGATCACAGTGTGATCAAGAAAACTTTTACGCATACTTTTCCTTTTAGACCAGCAAATTACATCAACTACTTTTTTTTCTCGATTCACAATGAAAAATGTCAGCGAAAGTTTATCTTACTTATATGTTCAGTATGTTTGATTTTGACAAAGTTTGACAGTTATTTCAAATTAGTAACAAATGCGTATGCATTATAAAGTTATTAAACCTACTGTAAAGGTGTTTCGTCGATCCATTCAAATGTGCCTTCTACAGCTTGGTCAGTCAAACCAAAAAATACAAGGCTATTTAATCCCGAGATCCTGTCATGAAGAAAGGTCTGGTAAGAGGCAAACAGATATGTCACCTCATAAACATCAGTTGTTTATTCAGGTTATTTATTTGTATGGCTGTAAATCCATTTTTGTCGATTTCATAATAAAAACAAAATTTAAAAAATAGAGTAAACGAATAAAATCAAAATCAACACAAGTCAATCGCCTGCTGTAAACCCGAAAGGCAGTAACTAAAGAATTAAAAACTCTTCTGGTGCTCAGTAGAATATATTTGAAGTAAAAAAAAAAAATCATTCGTTCATTTGAAACTGCTGAAAGATACTATGACGGGACTATCCACGCGTCATGGTCATGTCAGTAAAAACAATAATAAGAACGACTATTTGAAATATAGAGATTCAACTATTTACAAGTCCTTATATCACGGTATAAACGTGAATGAAAGAGCGGCGTCATCAGAGAATAATCTGTCTTAAAAAGATTCAAGCATAAGAATTGGGGTGTCTACATGAATGTTTTAATATCTCCGCTATCAACTAAATATTACGCTTTTTGATATTTTTGAAACGGGCATTAAACAAGGAAAAAGTTGGCCTATTACGTCACATACGCCATTCAATCATGATATTACTTTTAAAACTGTTTTTTTCATCAAATATGCCATGGCGAGAGACTTGCTAAATAGCTACGTAAACTTCCCGGCTGTGAAATAACATACTGTTAAAACAACAAAAGTACATAGGTTTTATGATAACAACATTTTTGATATCATTAGCCAAGGAAAAGAAGTGTAATCGAACATACGTTGATATCGTGTGATTTGATGAGTGCTAAATCAGCTCCATGATACTGACAGTAGGTCCTTGCATCTGAGTAAGATCGAGCCAGCCATGACGGAGAGATGAAATAATCTAGGCCTCCAAATGATGCTTCACTACTTCCATCATATACTGTAATAGAACATACTTTTATTTGAGAGTGTATCGTCATGAGATTAATTGTGATATTAACGAAATTGGGTGGACTATTCTCCGAAGAGCGTAGGCATTCCTCAGATTCTACAGAACCCACTGTGTGCGTAGTAGCGGTCGACGAAACGTTTAGAATGTTGAACTATTAAAAAGGGGTAAAAAATTACTTTTATTTTACAAATATGTATGAAAACAGAGAACGATTGCATTTGTTGTCATTAATTAATACATTTGAACTGTTTAAATCGTCTGTGTAGGAATACGAAAGAGCTAAACACAAAATTATTAATTTTTCATGAATCGAACGATTGAAGTGGATTTTTTCGTAGTGAGAGAAAGTTACTAATGCAAAGTTATATAACAGCCAAACATCCCATGATGGTGTGATAACATTATTATGTTGTAGTGATAACGGATTCCGTTAAGGTGTAGCGCAATATTAAAATATCCAAAAAGTATTTCAAAAGTCTGCTTGTACGAAACATATTCCAAATAGAATAGCTCTGCGATCGATTTTGTTTACACTAAACGAATCCCAAACGTCAGCCCTTTATCATAACGCTAACCCCGACCCTAAGTTACCACGTTTGTTGCAACTATCGCCAAAACACGATCAATACTATATCATCTATATA